GGCAGCGCTGGGGCCGCGTCGCACTTGTTGAGCACTATACGATCTGCATGCGCGACCTGGCGCCTGCGCGCGAAGTAGCGTCGGGATTTCGTCCAGCTCGCGACGCGGGAGTAGCGCCGCGCCTCGAAGCCGCCGGCGCCCCGTGACGCAAGTAGCTCGCGGCCGCGGACGCAATCGACGACGCAAAGGATCGAGTCGAGCTCGACGGACGACTCGAGGGCCTCGTCGAGCCTATGGCGCAGCAGGGGCTCGACGCGTCGGCCGGCGCGCGCCGCGGGCGCCGATGAGAGGCCAGAATGCGGCTGCGACGGGCCCGGGGTCGGCGACGCCGCTGAGCTCGACTACGATCGCGTCGAGGGGCCGCGCCGCGCGGGCTACGAGGTCCTCCAGTGCCGTCGCGAGCTCGTCCTTGACAGAGCAGCAGACGCAGCCATTCCGTAGCTCGACCTACGTAGCACGCGATCGCATCGCGCGCTGCCGCCAACCGTGGGCGCGGGGCTCGCGACGATGGCCCCGTCGGGGCTGAGAGCGCACGCGCCCTCGGAAACGAGCACACTCTCGAGACCTCGCGTGTCAGCGAACTCATTCTCGACGACCGCGATACGCAGGCCGTGGTCGCCAGCGAGCAGCCGCCGGAGCAGGGTCGATTTCCCGGCGCCGAGGAAGCCGCACAGGATCGTCACCGGCACCTTCGCGCGCCCGCCAAGGCCCGCGACAACTGGCGAAGCGCCGCCGGCGTACGGCACCAACAAAGGCGCGGGCTCGTCGTCGTCGTGAAGCGCTTCATCCATCACGTTCATGCTAACCGGATTCGGATGCTTAGCGACGCGACTCGGAATCTACCAGTGGTTTCCTCGCGATTTCGGGCTGTTTTTGCCCCCGGGCGGCTGTCTGCGGCTGTCTGCGGCTGTTTCGGGGTCCGGGGCGGCTGCTTTGCGCTGGGGTCGGGGTCGCGGACCTCCCCTTCGGGTCTCGGGCTACTAGTTCGCGTCTTACCGGTCGGGGAGCGGTCGGCGCGCGCGCACGCCGCGGTCGGTGCGTCGGTCGGTCCCGGTCGGTCGTCGGTGGAGAACCTCTGGCTGCTGGAGCCACACGGGTTCAACGCGCGCGTAGCGGCCGGTGGCCTTCGCGCGGTGACAGAGTCGGAGCCCGATGTCGAGGACGTGGGGCGCGGCACGACTCGGTCGGTGGCGGCAGCCGCCGCGATGCCGTCGGCGCGCGCGGGCGACGAAGCCACGGGGATCGCTTCGGCCGCCGGACCGGGGTTCCGGACCGGTGTCAAGGCCCGCGGCGTGCGCGTGGGGCCCACGCGAGAGCGGCGGCGGGGCTGCCGACCGGCGCGCAGGGGCGGCGCGCAGGGGCTGCCGGGGCGGAGGCGCGAGACTGCGACCGCGGCTGTGCTGGCCCGTCTCAGCGCGAGAATTCGCGCATTTATTGACCGTAAATCGATCATTTCGATGACTTTTCCGAAAAAATTTGCCCTGCGGGGCCGAGGGGCTGTGGGACGAGGCCACGAGTAGTACGACGTCGTGTCCGTGTAGTCGTGTTGGCGTAGGGAGTTCGGCGCCACGTGCGCGCGCCCCGCGGCGCTGGCGGGGCGCGGCCGGGGCGCACGGCTTACGGGGGCACATGCCGCCCCACGGGGCAGCCGTCGGCGGGAATAAGGCGGCGATTTGGTGTTTCCACACTTCAAGAAAAAAAAGAGAAAGAAAAAAATCGGCGCCGAAGGCGCCGTGGGGCGGCGCCGAAGGCGCCGGGAGGCGGCGCCGGAGGCGCCGAGGGAGCGCCGGAGGCGCCGGGGACGCGGGGGAACAACAACACAGGTATTAAAACTATGATGGCCACGGGTATTTGTCGAGCTTGCCCGCGTCGCTCACCGTGAACGTGCCCGACAGGGCCTCCAGCTTGCGCTTGAGCTTGTCCCTTCTCTCGGGGTCGCCGGCGCCGTTGGTGCATTCTCCGGGAATCGCCGTGGTACACCACCACCGAAGCCGTTTCCGGCCGTCGCGGCCCTTGATGCCGTCGATCTCCGCGAGCGTGAGCGTGAGCGACTGCGGCCGCGCCGCGGGCGCCGGACGCGGCGCCGGCGCCGCGAGGGCGACCACCGGCGGCACGAACGTCGGCCTGGCGAGGCGTGCGTTGTCCATGACCGGCAGTGGCGCCGGGGACGCGTCCATCTCCATCGCGGCCGGCGCAGGAAGCTGTCGCGTACCAGGATCGACGGTCGCGA